ACAGTAAGTATAGAATGCAGTTAAACAATACTGTACAAATATACTATATATTGTTTTTTTTAAATTTGTCTCTTTCACATGATACGTCAATACAAGTATAACTATACATAATTATATTTTGAAAGCAACATTGATGAAGTCAAGGTAAAAATAGCGATTTTTCTTTATTTTCCTTTAAATTTTTTTGTTATATTTTTTTTTTTTTTGAATCGATATTTAAAATCTACAAAAAATTTTGTTGAAAAGAAATCGAAAGCTTCCATTAAAATATGAAAAACTGTAAAAATATACTTTTCATAATATCAACCAATATATATATGTACATACATATTTCAAAAAATTCCTTATTTATACCCTTCCTTATAAGGTGCTCATATTGTATATATGTATTTCTATAAAAATGTGTATAGATGCAAATATGAATGATATATGAGCAATACATATATAAAACGTAGCAGATGTTTGCATAATTTTGAACAAAAATTTAATACATTTAATTTTTTATAAATATAACAATGTAGTAAATATTTTACTTGTAATGTTAATACCAATATTGTCATATCCTATATACTACACACATACAACTCATTTATTGTATTATAGATCAGATACATAAATACATACGTACAGGGAGCCCTAAGAATATCAGTTTTTGGCAACTTATTGTGAAAAAAACCGAAAATAACAGACATTTTCAAATTTTTTAATATAGGTATACAGTATGTTAACGACACCGTTATATGATAATAACAGATAAATGTTACTGATCCCGTTTTTTCCGAATTTCTTACGTCATTGGCAAATTATTTAAAAGAAAAAAATATTTTTTGCATCCCTTTAGTCTTCTGAGCAAGTCTTTTCTGTTGATATATTAACTTGAGTGAGAACATAACAGAGACTAATTCTATTTGCCTAAAAATATGCAATACATTAATATTTCATGATAAAAATAAGAGAATTATTTATATTATGTGTATGTAAATAGAAAAAATTATACAAATATTCCTACATGTTTGAGGGCAAGTAAGTATAATTATAAAATTTCTATTTGTTACGGTTTTGAGCTAAAGCTAGTTCAAAATCTGGTTCAATTGAGCCAGATTTTTGATCAAAATTTACATAATTAGCTGTAAAATGTGTTAATGTTATACATACAATTTCATCCAATCGTCTCGTGCAGCTGTTTAAAGTAATTTTGTACAAAAAAATTAATATACATAACATGATTATACATTCATATATATATACATACATTTATATCTTTTTTTTGGGAATAAGAATTAAAATTGCGTCTTGCAACAGGTTACGACTTAAATTTTTGACATCCCTGACATAAATATTGTTAGTAAATATCTAAATCGTTAAAACGCACTTGCTCATTCTATCTATGCAAGTAATAATAATATAATATATACATACACACATGTACAATATTACTACATATATATGTATATACATAACAAACAAGCTGATGTGAATTTTTTTCAAAAAATATTTAATTATAAAATAATATTAAATTTTATGATTATTATTTTACAATTTATTATTTATAATTTATTATTTGTAATTGTTCATAAAAGTATATTGGTTCAAATAAATAACTTAATAATGAAAATTTAAAACATTATGATTGAAAATTTATTGAAATTTATATTAAAATATTATTATAACAATATAAGAAAGATACATATGTACATACAAATGTATATAGAATGTCAAAAAACATTGAGATGTATTGTGAATAATGCTCGATTGAATAATCACTGATTCTATAATTAGAAAACAAAACATGAATTTTTTTAAGGTTTTATTTTAATTGAAAATTGCTATAAATTGGGTCTATAAATTAAAATTGACATTAATTGGGTCTATAAATATTATTAAATAATATAAATTGTAAAAATTTATTTATCTAAATTTATAAATAAATTCCTTGTAATTCACAATTTTAAAGATTATTAACTATACAATATTTGCAATGGTTTAAAGATTGTACTCGAAGAAAACAAAAACCCAATTGAATAAATTGCTATTAAAAGCAGCAAACCGCACCAAATAAAAATTAAGTTATGAAAAATTTAGAATCAACGGAGTATTATTAAAAATTTTAAATATTTACTATTGCATTTTTAGAAAACTATGTCCTTGCAATAACACTATATGATCATTATACCACCCTTGAATTGACACACTATTCAACATTGTCAATTTATAAGATAAATTGTGAATTACGACTGTATTAAAGCTATTTTGAAGTTTAACTAAATTTAAAGCTGCATACTGCATTACTGCAATTTGGAATTCCAGAACTCCAATTAGTTTAGAAAATGTTACTTAAAATTTTAAGTAATTTTCTAATATTAAAAGTTAAATATCTTATAAATTTGTTTCAGTTTAAATTTACTTATAATATTACTCAACTTTATCTGCTTCATCATACTGTTATACTGCTATACATTCATACAGGAATTAAAATAAAATGAATATATCCTATTATTTTTATTTATTTTATGATTAATAAGGAAATAGCAAGATTTTAACAATTTCTTGTTATACTTGTAACCGTACAAATAACGCTATGATATTTATTTAAAATTTCTACTTATATTCCATACTTCATACATATAGACAAACATACTATTCCAAATTTATTTCACCTATAAATTTTATTTCATTTGTTTCCTAAACATTTTCTTTTATTTTTTTTTTCAAAAAAAAATTGAAAAAATATAGCTATTTGTCGCCTTTATTATATAAAATTGTATAAATACGCACAATATCATACATATAGTATGATACAAAGTATGTATATGTATTTCATACATTCTTTGTATGACATTTAATTGTATACTAGTATGTAGGTATATTTTATGTATTCGTTATTATAATAAAAATGTTGAACTTTATTTCAAGGGTATAAAAATATATTGTGGAAAATATTTGAAATATTAAAATCAAAAACGGAAACCGCAATTGAACATGAAAAACAAAAAAAAAAAATTCACCATATTTATTGCGTGTTGCAATACTTTTTTTTTTGTTCTTTACTTATTTTTTGTAGGTTTTTTATAAAGTTTGTTATTTTGTTTCAAAATTTTATCTATATGTATATAAGTATATATATATATATATATATACATAAGAAATTTTATTACGGCATGTTATTCGAAATTAACTCCGTCATTACTGAACACTTTTATTGTAAAGAAAAATTCTTGGAGCCAAGTCAGTCTTAGAGAGAATCTCATATCATACATTGAAATATAAAATGTTGTCAAAAAATTTTGAATATTTCAAATTTTGTTTGGAACGGATCATGTTCATGGTAGTGAAAGGGTTAAAATATTTTGAGTAAAACTAATAATTTAAAAAAAAAAAACTTTTTCTTCACGGCTATAATATTGAAATTTAATTTTAACAACTGATAATAAAAAAAATTGTGAATAAAAATAATTTATTAAATAAAATTTTTTTAGAAAAATAGAAAATTGAAAATTTCCATTTTTTCGTCAATATCAAACTATTGAAAGTAGAATTGCACCTACATAATGTTTAGCTTTTTTTTATTCTTCTTCATAAGAAAATATTAAATTTGTGCAAACTTATACTCGTGAATTTTTCCTTTGAATCAACAGGGTTTCATTTTGCAATTTATAAAATTTAAAGTTTTATTCTATAAATTTAAGTGAGTACTCATTCCTTGCCATAGTTTGTGAAGATGTTCACAATTTTTTTTTTCAATATGTAGTTTTGAAGAACTTGAAGGAATGTAATGTTATTAAAAGTGTATATAAAGTCTCGTTGTATTCTTAATTACATACTAATAGCACCAATTTTATTATATTCTCAAATTGGGAAGGACAACTATCCAACTCAAAAATATAATTTCGACTTCCGGAATTTAAAGTATTTGCAGCCAAGTGTAAATTACTACCGGAGGATAAAAAATGTTGGTATATGAACAAATTTTTTGTATTATTTTCGAGCAAGGACGGAGCATTTTAACTTATGTAACTGTTCTCGCGAATGTACGTTTTGGGCAGAGTAAACTTAGGGGTGCCATTGAAAAAAAGACCAAAAAATCTTTTTATATTTACAGAGAAATTAACTTGAAAATATTTACCTATACACAAAGCATTACAAAACAAAAACCTTAATGTTCAAAATAAACATTCAGCTCGATAAAGTTATAAGAAAGTGCAATGTTTGTTCCATATGATTTTCTTTGGTTCGAGTTGTACGGTGCCCTACGCCAATTTTTAGATACGTATAGGACTCCGCATAACCTACAACCGGGCCTGCATATTGTTAATAAGTTTAGAGCATAGAAATTTTTAGTTAAGACTAAGTTTTTTTTTTAAGGATTTCAATTGAAAATTTAATTTAAATTTTTTTAGAATTTATTATAAAATTTATTATAGACTTGCATTCCAATTTTTATATGTATACCTCATGTCTAACATAGTTAAAGATTAACTATGAATATTATGTTTAAGGACAAGTTTTATAGATCAATTAATTTCGTATAATTGAAACTCAATACAATTTTAATAACATAAATTAATTACAGTTAGTCATCAATTAGCGCAAATTACGTATTTTCGGTTGCATTTTTTATTTAAAAATTAGAATTGAATCAAAATACACTGGCAACAATATTGACTTTTTAAATCACTTATAAAATTTTAATAATTTTTAAATTTTTATAGTTACATCAGATTTGAAAATATTTTAAACTGAAGAAGCCAATTCATAGCAACCATAATTTAAATTTTATACTCGTATTAAAAAAATTTCATTTTCAAATTTTAAATTTGAATATTTAGAGAAAATTTAATAAGCATTCATTTAGATTAACAGAAAATTTTTCATGTTTACATGGAGGAATCTACATTAGAACCAATTATTAACAAGCTAATTTTGAAAATCAAATCTTCACCAAATATATGTAACTAAATCCAAGATAAATTTTCATTTTGTTTTTTTTTTTGTCATTTCAGATTACTGTTTTTCTTTGTGTTCAATTCTAGAAAAATGTTTACCGCCTCACAACAAGACACAAATTCACAGGACTATTTATTAGATGAAGGATATGATAAAAACGCAAGACCAAGTAAGTCAATTATAGTAGCGAAAATCTAAATGAAAATTTATTTCTGATTCAATTTTTTGTCTCATAAATATTTTGAGTAAAAAGTTCATATATTAAAATTATTAATAATTCCCTAAGAATTAGGTACATTTCATATAATTTTAGAGTCTATCCCAAAGCCCAACATCCATAAGTAAATATGTTTGTATATGTATGTGAACGTATACATTATGTAAATATGAAAATTAAATTAGTTTTTTTATTATATAGTCGCGATATCTAATTATAAAGTCAAAATTCTAATTTTTAATATTCCCATAGGAAAATTTTCCTTACATACATATATACATTTCATTATTAATTTATATGTAGACCACCATATATAAAAGTTTTACCTGTTACACCTGTTAAAAATTCTTAAATTTTTTAATTTATAACAGTTTTAATACAGGTATATATAGTTTTTTTTTTAAATAACTGAAACTGAAAGGTTATAAACTCTAAATTACTCTCGCGAGAATTACAAATGAACTGAAAAAAAAACTTTTTATTTTAAAAATAATTATTAAAATTAATATTTTCCATTTATAATTTTCAGGCTATTATGCTTATTTGTTTTGATAATGTTGGTATGTGCGACACTATCCCCTGCACAATTCAGCTTATTGAGTAAACACCATAAATATATAAGCTAGTCTGTTATACTTCTTGTTTTTCAAAATTTATTTGATAATTTAATGAACATTTTGAGTTTTTCAAGTGTTTTGGAAATGTGGATTTGGGAAGGCAACTAAAGTTAATGTTAGGAAGTCATCATTACACGTTTTGTAAATAAACTGAATATGTTTGTGAATAATATTAAATTCGTCGAATAATTGGACATAGTAAATGCCCATATATTTATTATCAAGAGTTTCGTAAAGCAGTTGGATTTCAATTACTTGAATACAGTTCCAATGATGTTCTTTCTTACCAGAATCAGAATCTAAAATGAAAATTGATTTTTATTATTGTATAAATTAAGGCATTGCCATATAACTATCGAAAAACCAAATCCCTCACCCCATTTTCAATACTTTGAATAATTTTAGTTGGCATAATTTCAAAATACAAAATTCAGCGGAACATTGTAATGAATGAAATTAAAGCGTAATTTAACAATTTTTTTTTATATTTTCTAAATTAATATAGTAAACAATGGAAATTGCCAAAGTTAACAATAATAATATTAACCTTTTCAATTAAAATATAATAAAATTTTGCATAAATAAGCATGAAAAGAAATTATGAGTAAAAAAAAAAATTTAATAGAGACTTTCTACAAATATACGCAAACACACAAATATAATTAAAAATGAAAATTTTCATTTTACACGCAATATCAAATATTTTTAACTTAAAAAATAAAAGGATAACAATGAATTTACTACATGTAGTCTTTTATTGTACACGTACATGCTTACAGAAATTGTAAATAATTTGTTTTGTTATTATTGTTCTTATAGTCATAGTACTTTACTTTGTTATATAACATAATATGGTTATTTATCTTTATTATAAACTTAATTACTGCTTATTAACAAAATATTTTCAGTGTATGTTTACCTATACGATATGTATGAGCTTATATGCAACAATATTAATAGAGGCTTCCAATAGGATACTTTAAATATTCTCGTACCATATGTGAAAATCAGGGCCCCTACGCCTAATACGATTTGAATATTTTCAACCTATAATGATTTAAATACAGTATTCTGAAAATTATCAAATTAAATCGAAATGGAACCGGAAACAGAATAATTTTTGTATAATGTATTCATAGCTTACAGTCAAATATGCTTGATAGCTGATTCCATTCTGACTTATGCTTTATGTAGATTCAACACTCGATATAAGTTATAGTATTTAAAGTCGGAAACTTATATTATGAATTTAACTAATACAACATGTAGATTATTAGTGTAATAAGCACATTTATAAGTAATGTGCTTATTACACTAATAATCTTAACTAAATGTAAATTTCTTCATACAACTGCAGAACAGATGGATGACGTAATCAAAGAAACGAAAAAATTGAAAAATTTTTCTCCCCAAACTGGACTCGAACCAATGACCTACCGCTTTCTAGGCGGACGCTCTACCAACTGAGCTACAGAGAAACTTATGCTATGCATGGCTCATGTACTTTGGGGTGCAATGTTGTAAACCGGTTTTCTTCTTTGTTATCTTTAAAATTTCTTCAAAATTTTATTCCTCTTTCTCTTCAACACATTACTAATAATTAAAATTTCATTTTCATAAGTAAATTGAATAATTTTGTGTAATTTGTTGGCTCATTTGTTCACTATTGGCAAAAACGTCTTTAATATACCGCGATTTATTTCACCGAATTGTTTATTTCACCACAAGTTCATCTTTTCATTCTGTTCTTAATGAAAAATCTTATACGTACATATGAAATATAAACACTCTTAAATGATTAACAATAATTAAGCAGTATAACAATATTTTACATATACTTTAGGTATAATCCTTTATTAAATTATGCTGTATATATTTACTATACTCTTGCAACTAATTTTAGAATAATTATTTAAATATAAAGTTTATTAGTTTTAAGAATTGTAAATTATTAAAACGGATCAAAATAATTTTTATTCTTCTTATTAAAATTTGTTTGATCAATAATATCATTAAAAAATTTAATACAAGTATATAACAGATTCGAATATGTATGTATGATTGTATATGTATGTATGATTTTAGGAAAATAACGCGTTTTAATAATATAAATGAAATTGTAATTTGCGAATTTTATTCATAATTCGGCGAAATTTAAAGAATTGCTGTAATTCAGTCACATGTCATTGTTTTATTCTCAAAATAATACTTAACATTTTCTTCTTCGATTGTATCTCTCTTAACGCATAATTAGATTTGTCATTTTTTCTCAATACGCAGTATGGAAAGAGTAAATTTCGTAATATAAATATTTTTAAATTGACATGTCGATTTTGATTGTTAAAATTTCTGAGAAGGTGATAAGGAAATCTCAAAGAGAAAAGCATTTTTCTCTTTTTAAATTACCTTATAAAAAATACACAGCATTATTATACTCATCGGATACGTGACAGACCACTCATATTAAAATTTCAGAAAAAACTGTGTTGAAAATTTTAAAAACTGTGAATTGTTTCCACCGTCTGGGTCGTATTTTTCTGAATATTTGTGCAAATTGTAAGTGTATTCAAGCATGAAAATTTAATTAATAATTCAATTTACTATTCTATTAATATATAGACCTTTGTTACTAAATAATTAAATTTGATCTGCATTGCAGATATAAGGTTAAAATATTAATGTTAACTTCATTTAAAAAAAATAAATAGTTTGGTTATGGATTTTCATTCAAATCAAAATAATTTACTATAAAAATTACCCTATATTTATAATTCACAATATTGTACTTACATATACACTTGCATAATAATTGTTTTATTTTTAGAGAAGTAAATATAAAATTATAATTCTAAAAATATTTACAATTATTATAAAAAAAAAATTATAAAAATTTATTAACTATTTTCATATTTAATTTACTTGAAAAGCGTAAAGTGTTTAAAACAAAAATAACAACTAAAACACGTGTCTTTCCTGCCTAAATCAATTGATTAATGCGTCATACTGTGAACTCCTAACACAGAACCAATACAATCAAATTGTCAAACTACATATACATATATTATACCTGCTTATATAAAATATACAAAATTTTTATGTAATTTTAATACAAGTATCCTGATTATTTCTTAGCTGTGCTATACTTTAGCGTACCGTTAGTCATTCTTTAATCAAAAAAAAAAAATTAGTATGCGGTTAAAAAAAAAAAAAATCTGTCTATATAAAATAAAATTGCGTGTCATGCAATGATTTTTTTCCATTTCATATAAAACGTAGTTTACCTATTAGAAAATTTTTTTAATAAAAAGATGTGATATTAATAAATATTGACTCCTAAATGGTGTGTGCCTCAAGAATATTACTTAAATTGAATACCTAACCTAAGATACATATATCTACTTCAGTTTTTGTTTATTGTATATATATGGCAACAATTTCAAATTGTTAAATACGTCATGTATAGCGGAATAAGTCAGTTTTATTATCGCAAAAATTTTAAATGAAAATTTAAATTTAAAGTTGCAGAGAATAAGAATGAAAAAATTACTATTTAATTTTGAACCTTATCTAAATATATTGCTCACCTCTTGTTTATAAAAGCAAGAGCTTGAAAATCATTTTATTTTTAAAAATGATAAAGTTGACGTTTTAAGAAAATCTCCGCACTAAATTTGAATTTGAACTGTTGTGAGATAGAGAGAAGAACAGCTTTACATTAAAAATTTGGAAGAATGTCAAAAATCATTAACTCGTTGTAAACCTAACAAACCAATGAATCCAGCATCAAACACCTATTTTTATTAATATTGTTGTCAAACCTATTTATCAGTTTTGTTTTGACTACTGTTTTGAATATCACTCCAATTCTCTCAATAAACTAAAATATTTTTTGCGAAAATTCACAATTCACATAAACTCTCAAAAGTTTCATATATTTTTATAAGTATTGAGTTATAATCGGATTCCAAGTCAAGCGCATATAAGGTACATATACATACATATATAGCTTTTATTAAACGCACAACGTTGAGAAATTTTAAAATTTGAAGTAAAAGCACCAGGCCTCGGGAACCTGATTCGCACACCTTATTAATTATGTACATTGCATAAATATAGAAAAAATTTGTATATATTTTCAAAAATAAATAAATAGCGTATATTTTGTTTACATACATGTGCATATATACATACATATATACCGAAATACATTTAAAAAATAGCTCAAAATATAAAATTCCTAACATTCTGATATTAGTACATTATGAAATCTACACTAGTTTTCTCTTTCCTCTCTCACAACATAGTTTTCCCTTTTAATATATTTGATTTTACTCA